AATGATTAAATATAAGTATTATAAAATTTGATGGACACTTTCGTTACAAAATCGCGTGTCAGTTATTATAAATTTAATAATATGCTTTCCGTTAACTTTATTTATTTATGAATTCGATATCGCGTGAAACTGAATATTCTTAAAATAAATTATTAAATTATGATTGCGAAAATACCATGTTCTTCCCGCGTTCTCTTCGCGTCCTTATACAAGATTATCATTTTAACAGAAGAATTTTATCGTTGTCCTTCTCGTCGGATAATATTCCTAAATATTGCTAATTAAATATAAAGAAATGTCAAATAAGAGAGTAAAGATTGCAAGAATGTGATTAATCAACGATTAAATATTAGCTTTATAAAATTAAACGATCACCTTCGATATTGAGGAATCGCGAGTTAATTATTATGAATTTAATAATTTTTTCAGTTATATTTATATTTACAAATTTTTTTTTCGTATCGAAATATATTCATAAATAAATTAATAAATTACCGTTGCGAAAACACCGTATTTTTCTCGCGTTCTTTTTCGCGTTTCTAGACGAGATTGTCGTTTTAATAAAAGAGTCATAGTTGTTCCTTCCGTTAAATAAACGTTAATCAAAATTATGTGGCTATTAAAAATTGAAAAAGGGGATATATAAAAAAGGATAAGAGAATTAATTATGTAATGATCTTTCAATCATTGCTGTTAATTATAATATTGCTGTTAATTATAATATTTCTTTAACAATATTAAAATTAAATATATTTCGAACAGGACTTTAAATTTTCTCAATACTTGTTAATTAAACAATATACAATTTAATCGATTAAATTATAGGAATCTAAAATATTAAATAATCGCTACAATCGTTGCTATTTTTACGGACAATAATTATTATTTTAATATTTAAAGTCACAAATATATTTTATCCATGTTATCTTATCGTTCTACTTGACAATGTAAACATAATTTGGATTGTGAGAGAACACGAAGTAAAACAATCGAATTGTAAATGCAAATAATTAGCATAACGAAAAATTAATAATTACAATAACAAATAATTACGATAACATACGATACGATAAGATACAGTAACAATACGATACGATACGGTAACGATACGGTAACGACACGAGACGGTAATGATACGATACGATAACGATACGGTAACGATATGATACGATAAACGATACGATACGGTAACGATACGATACGGTAACGATATGATACGGTAACAATACGATACGGTAACGTTACGATACGATACGATACGATACGGTAAAGATACGATACAGTAACGATACGATACGATACGTTATATTCCAATAATCCTAGGGGTAAGTTATTTTAATTAATTTTAATTTATTTTAAAAGACGTTGTGAAAATAAATATAACATGTTTTTAAAAATAAAAACGTAAAATTTAAATTATCAAAATTATTTTCAGAAATATTAAAGAAATTGCACAATTATTAACATTTAAGAAATCTTAACATGTTATATTTTATTTTAAAACTTAAAAAATATATGTGTATTAAATCAAATATAATATTAAATCCAAATGTTATTGCTATCAATATCAAATTATCGTATTGATGTTATTAAATATTTGAATAAATGGAATATTATTATTTGATATTGATATTATCATAAATTTGTAAATTGTAAATTATAATATATAAATAGTTATAATTGTATTTTAATTATAATCTAATATTAATATTTTAATTGTAAAATACAATACAATTATGACTATAATTATATTATATAAAATTATATTTAAAATTGTAAATTATTATGTAAATAACACGAAAAATTATTGAAAGTATACGTAGAATGATTACATAATAGTAATTAACATAATAGTAATTCATTAAATTAAAGTATTTCTTTCTGCTGTATATATTTTTGAAATATTCTTAAAAGAGTAACTGTTTGTATTTTCATGTCAAAAAGTCATTAATAAATTCGGAAAATTTTATATAAAATGTAAAATTTGATGCTAAATTAATGATGATGAAATATAAGTATTATAAAATTTGACGGACGCCTTCGTTATAGAATCGCGAGTCAATTATTATAAATTTAATAATATGCTTTCCGTTAGCTTTATTTATTTATGAATTCGATATCGCGCGAAACTAAATATTCTTAAAATAAGTTATTAAATTATGATTGCGAAAATACCATGTTATTTCCGCGTCCTCTTCGCGTCCTTATACAAGATTATGATTTTAACAGAATTTTAAATGCTGTCCTCGTTAGATAATATTCCTAAATACTGCTAATTAAATATTAAGAAATGTCAAATAAGAGAGTGAAGATTCCATATGATAAATCAATGATTAAATATTAGCTTCACAAAATTTAACGATCACTTTCGATATTATAGAATCGCGAGTTAATTATTATGAATTTGATAATTTATATTTTCTGTTATATTTATATTTATGAATTTTTTTTTATATTTATGAATTTTTTTTTCGTATCGGAAAATATTCATAAATAAATTAATAAATTACCGCTGAATAAATTACCGCCGAAAACATCGTATTATCCTAGCGTTTTTTTGTGCGTTCCTAAAGAGATTGTCGTTTTAATAAAAGAGTTATCATTGTTCTTTCCGTTAAATAAACGTTAATGGAAGTTGCGTGGCTCGCCGAGGAATCGAAATGATTTTCATCATGGTGAATTATTTCTCACTGGTTCTTGTGAAATCTATTCGCGACGTCTAGTTCGGTCCTGTTGAAAAATTGAGAATTTTTATTGTAAGATTGAAGGAACTAATCCCAGGTTTTCCTGGCAATTTCCAAAAGCAATGATTTCGGTAGTAATTCCACGGCGATACTCTTCTTTAACATCGAATTAATTTAAATAATATATATTTAGATGAGAGAAATGTATCTTTTCTTTTCTTTGTAAAAAATGTTCTATCATTATTAGGATTGGTATTATTATTGTCTAATGCCAGAAAAACTTATTAGTAGATTAAATATGGATATAGTGTTGTGTATAAATTTCTATTCTTCAAGTAATTGCATATTGTAATTAGGTTTTATAACTTTTTTAAGAAAAATGATTACGAACGAATATATTTTATTAATTAATATAATTTATCCTTTTTGAAAGATTATTTCTAAATACTGGAAATATTAATGTTAGTTTTTAGTTTCTTTTAAGAAACTATTTACAGGTATTGGACATCCATCGTCATTTTAGAACATTTGTTTTTAAATATATGCCATTTTTATATATGTATGCATAATATAAAATATATGCATAAATTAACGTATCTAAAATATTTTTATAATTTTTATTAATATTATATGTGTATTATATATACGCGAAATGATATATGAATGTTACATAAAATGTGCGAATACTTAAAAATTTCGAGACAAATTGAATGGATACCCCTGTATCAGTAAGATATTGATTGAAAGAAAAAGAATTATTAATTTAAACGTTATAAGAATAAGAATCTAGAGAATTATTCTAGAATTAAAATTATTTAAAATTATTTGATTTATTTTTTGCAAACTACTCCAATTGAAATTTTAAATCTTGCTGTTATCGGGTTCGATTCATCTCGCACGCGTGAAAAGGTACCCGAAAATTATTATATGTGTTCGCACATTCAACACAAACTCTAATGATGCAAGGATTTTATTATTTATAATATTATTTATAAATCGTGCGTAATCATATTTTTATAAAAAATTGTTATATCCACTTAATTTTCAATAAAGAATTATATTTCTTAATAATGAAAGAACATGTTTTCTGACGTGAATATCAATTTCGTGAATTGAAAATAATGATGAGGGATAATTGTTGTTGATTTATTATTGAAATCATTACTATTGGGAATAGTCCGGAAGATCCGGGATTCGTTTCCTCCTACAGTAAAGTTCCCGACGTTCAATGGATCACTTAATTTTTCTTCATAGATTGATCCTGCGAAATCTGATATAGAAACAAAATGTTAATCTTTCTCCATTTTCACAATCGCTCCTCTTTTTATTACCGATTTGTCACCCGCGGTTTGATGGCTTCGATTATTATATTATAAAAATTATACACAATATGAATATTTTGAATATTATCGATTTATTCGTGTTTACATCGAAGCACATTTTATTTTTTCGCGTTTTGAATATTTTCTTTGATAATCTACTAAAAGGCGCCAGTAATGTAAATACTTTCTTCTACAATCGAAGAAATGATCAATAATTTTATTAATGACTCTTTTGATCACGATTATTTACGTTATATAAAACTTATTATATTCTAACAAATTAATAAATAGATAAAGAATTAGGCTCCTATTATATTCTATTATTCTATTATTCTACTTATTATTCTACTTATTCTACTTATATTCTATTATTGCATATCGATTATTAATGATAAATGTGGCGTAATTAATCATCGCTTGTCTAAACTATATAAAAATTTTTATTAAATTTCGTATTATACGTATATTTTGGACATTTTTGCGTAATAAATTATGTTAATTAATATTTATATTAATTACATTAATATTTTTGAATAAAATAAAAGAAAAAGAAACAGTAATCGAAAAAACAGATAAAAGGCAATTACAATGATTTGAATACATCTTAAACGTGAGTGATTTAAATATTCTGAAGAATTCCACAGAAAGGAATAAACATGACAAGTGATGATAATCTTTATGATGTTAAGGAATACAATAAACTATAATAACAATCCAAGAACTCGAATAAGAAAATATATTGAATAGAAATGTATAGTGATTGGATACGATTAATAACTAAAAGACTGTGTGCATACAACCTACTTATTAATAATAATACCATTTTATAATTATATTAAATTTTATAATTTAGTACATTGTATATATAAAGTATTAAGCTTAAAAATATTATGCTAATATTAAAATTATAATAAAAATATATAAATAATGGCTATATTAAAATGGTACATACGAATTCTTTATATTTTATATAAAAGAAAAGACATTTAAAATAATTTGCAACATCTACATATTTTTCCTACAAGATTTATCGAATCGATCAGAAAAGAAGATAAATTTAATTTAATTATGTCGTCTAAATAGTATCGACTGGACTCAGTAAGATATCTTCTATATTCTTTCTTAATGCTATAATATTTTTCAAACAAAAGTTGAAATTTGGTCTAGCATCCGCTGAACTCCAGCAACGTAGCATCAACTGGTACAATGCTGACGGACAATTAAGAGGCATCGGCAACCTGCCTCCAGCACGTACATAATTTATCACTTCTTCATTAGCCTTGCCACTATAAGGTTGCTCACCCAAAGATGTAATTTCCCACATTAAAACACCAAATGACCAAACATCGCTTTGAGAAGTAAATATATTGATCATCAAAGATTCGGGTGCCATCCAGCGAACAGGAAGCAAATCTTCTCCTCTCTAAAACATGATTTGAACAAAAATTTAATTTTCTGATTCAAGTTGTTCATTTTTACAATATGTGCAAAAAGAAAAACGTTATCTCTTACTATATATAAATAAAAACTATTTATATTCCATATTACTTGAAGAAACAATGCACGATACTATTATGATAAAAAAATAGAAAGTGTTTTCAAAAGAATTCATTTTTTAATTTTTTTTTTATAATTGTATTTACCATGCGATAATAATCATTCTGGTAGATATTTCTAGCTAATCCAAAATCTCCAATTTTGATAATACGATTCTCGCGATTTCTGGAAGATACTAAACAATTGCGACACGCTAGATCTCTATGTACGAAACGCAATTCTTCCAAGTAGCAACAACCTTGCGCAACATCTTCGCACATGGCGAACAAATCTTGCAAACGCAGAGCGTGCGAATCTGACGCTTCTAAATTTCGACAATCTCTCAAATATTTTAACAGATCACCAGTTTCCATTAATTCCAACACTAGAAACGGAGAAATCCCATCTAAACAAACACCCAACAATCTTAATATATGTTTGTGTCGAAAACGATTCATAAGCTCGGCTTCCTTTAACAATCTCTTTTTCTCATGGGAAGAAGCATCTGTCCGAAGCGTTTTTATTGCAACGGATATCTCTGTGCCCGAACTTTCTAAGTTTTTCACATTTCCTTGATACACCTGCGAATTATTTCACACAAATTTACATGCGTACTTTATTAGAAAATGTATAGTTTAATGTCAAGTAATATTATATTTCACTTTATATTAAATAATTTAACGAAAAATATATAATAAAGTGAATGTTTGTTGTCTCATCCAAATTTTATATTACTTATAATCTATTATAAAAGTTTATATAATTTGCATCTTTATTAGAAAATACATATCTGTTTTGTTGATTCAGAAATTAATTTGAAACATTGATTGAAAACATTAATTTTTACCTTTCCGAATGCGCCGCTACCAATAATTTTTCCAAATATAATCTGTTTACGTGCAATTTTAGTTATCGCACATTCATCCGGATTATAATGTAACATAGGACTGTAAATCGTATTGAATCGAGTGTATTCGCAAGATACTTCATGTAGAATCCCCAATTCTATATCGGTCATTGTTGTCAAATCATTATTACTTCTGCGTTGCCGATATAGTGCTATAAAATTTCGACTTAATTATGTAATAATATGTATTATAAAATTTTTCGTTTTTTAGTAAATTTATTCGTTTACTTTTATATAAGTAAATTACTATTTTTAGTAAATTTTTAGATTATTATATCAAATATATATGTATAATTTACAATTCAAGTTGATATCTACAACAAATATACTTACAACAATAAAAGTAGCAGAGGCAGATTATAAGAATTATAACGATAAAACCTACAACATCAAGTAATATTTTTTCGCTATTATTCCAGGAGTGTCCGAAATATCTGTATTAAGCAAAAATATAATTTTAATATTTTCGTGTGTGTATGTTTTTAAAAATTTATTTTTATTTGTAACTTTATTAAAAAAAATTTAATTTTTTTAAATTTTAGGCCTATTCACATTTAAAAATATTAGTATATCATATTATAATATCTATGCAGCACAGAATGTTACAACTACTTTGCAACAATATTGCAATATTACAAATAGCAATGCAACATTACGGAAACATTGTAGAAATATAAATTAACAAAGTATGAATTAGATATTAGCAAAATGATATTTACATTTTGAAAATAGTGTAAATTTATAACAATCTTTAATTTATCTATAAAAATAATATATTTTTTATATTTGTATATATGCGATAAGTTTTACTTTTTTGCAGAAATGAAATGAATTAATGACACAGAAATAATATCAGTAATTATAATTCTAAGCTAAAAATAAGCATTGCATTTTTTTATTAAAATATAGATAACATTTTATATCAATGTTAAAATATATTTTATGATATATTTTTAATTTATGTACGAATACGATATCTTTTTATTATATTAAGAATAGATATTATTATATCTATCATTTCAGATTTCAATGTATTTTTATGTGTTTCTCATACAAATAAATATAAATATAACGGATTCTTAAAATTTTTAAATAAAAATATAATTAGGAATGTTTAATTAATTCTATAACTAATGTTTATATATGTATAAACATTAATTGACCATTAGAGAAAGATATATATATATATATACAGGGTGACCCATTTTAACTTAGGCAGCCAAATAACTCGAAAAATAAGCACACTACGAAAAAATGGTTAGAATCAAAATTTCGTCATTTCGAGGGGGACGTACAATGACGTTAAAATCAGCCCCGCCATCCCTCCCCCTGGGCGGTGAGGGGGGGCAAGTTTGAAATCTTAAATGGGAACCCCTATTTTTTATTGCATATTCCTGTAGCTTATCTCGAGAGCTTTCCAAAACACTATAATTAAGTATCTTTTTATTAAGTACTTTTTGAGTTATAAGGCTTGAAATAATTTCTTAATTTTACATAAACCATAAAATATCTAGTAAACCATTCATTTTTCGATTATCTTACCTTTATACTTTTATGTACAAGATAATGAGAGGAATCAATTGGTGTAAAGAAAACACATAGTTGTTTCTAAGAAAAAATATGTAATTTGCAATTAACAATTCCATATTTTTTCTTAAAAACAACTGTATGTTTTCTTTACACCAATTGATTCCTCTCATTATTTTGTACATAAAAGTATGAAGGTAAGATAATCGAAAAATGAATGGTTTACTAGATATTTTATGGTTTATGTAAAATTAAGAAATTATTTCAAGCCTTATAACTCAAAAAGTACTTAATAAAAAGGTACTTAATTATAGTGTTTTGGAAAGCTCTCGAGATAAGCTACAAGAATATGCAATGAAAAATAGGGGTTCCCATTTAAGATTTCAAACTTGCCCCCCCTCACCACCAGGGGGAGGGATGGCGGGGCTGATTTTAACGTCATTGTACGTCCCCCTCGAAATGACGAAATTTTGATTCTAACCATTTTTTCGTAGTGTGCTTATTTTTCGAGTTATTTGGCTGCCTAAGTTAAAATGGGTCACCCTGTATATATATATTTATATATATATATATATTTATATATATATATATATATATATATATATATATATATAAAGTACTCATTATAAGAGTATATAGAACATTTAAAATAAAAAAAAATGATTCGTAAGTAAGAGTTTAAAGTAATTTTGTATAAAACATATTTTATATGATTACGTTTAAATATAATTTTGCAATATATTATCTTAGGTATGATTACTTTAGATATTGCAAACTTCTATTTTTATCAAGCTTTTTAATTTAATTATATGTTTTCAAGATATTTATCCATCAAAAACAAAAATATTTTATACGTAATATTATTAAATGATTGTAATAACATTGCATTCTTTTCAATATATTAAATTGTAATATTGCTACAATGTTTCATTGCTAAAAGCGGATATCTTAACTTTATCACATCTTATAACAATGACTCAGAAAAGTTTCACAATCAATTTGCAATTTTTCAATCAAATTATTCTTCAATATATCTGCAATCTTATTGTGTTGTATGCGTATTTTCATTTGCTTACCACGTTTGCTACCACCTGTTGAAAAATTAAATCTTTCATCAGCTGGTCATGTAAAATTTTCCTCATATTCGGGATATCTCAATATCAAGCGAAACTGGAATGAAGTTCCCGATTGCAAATTTTTGATATGGTTTATTACTTCTTCGTTATAATTCGTTCTAATATCATTCGCTGTTTGCCACTTTTCTGTTGAAACGTCTTTGTACTCTAGTGCAGAAGAAATCGTCAGATTGATGTTTGAGATCCATGAAATGTTCATGCTACTTATGTTGATCCCGCTCAAAGTAATATTATTTGGTTCTGAGTATATGTGATTGATCTTGCTAAAACACTCATTGTAAAAATCGCTGAAATTACTTGGATACACACGCACGTATATCAAGTAATCTTGTACTGGTAGCGACAAGTTAATCTTTGTGAAAAATCTACCGTCTGCCATACGTTTCAGCACATTGATAAATTGTTTATTCTCTTGTTGTGTGTCGTTCACTAATTTCCAATCACTTCGTAGGTCACAGCCACGCAGTTCAATTTCTTGGGTGGCATCCAATGAACTACTGCTATAGTACGAGTAGGTGTCAAAGCTAAAACACTTATGTTTTCTGGTACATTAAGCTTGCCCAAATTAGTTTTTATTCGTATCACGTTCGAATCGAATGGATTTATTGATAATTGATCAAAGTAAAAATTGCTTAAAGTAAACTTCAACTTGTACTCTGTAAATGGTGTTAAATTCTGAATCTCGTAATATCGCTCGGCTGTCAGCACATTGAATTCTTCAGACTTGTTGAGGTTGTTATCTAAACAATAACTTACAAAGATAGTATATATAGTAGTTGGTAAATTACATTTTTTGCATCCACTCTTTACAATCGGCTCCGGTAAATTTACAATGATGCTGTTTGCCGTTGCAGTCACATTCTCAAAATTATAAATTTTTTTGACTTTTTCGTCAGGTGTCAGACATCTCATTGGAGGATATGGTTGTGAAGATTTATCAAAAGCATAAATTTTATAAAACACATTTTTATCTGAGCTTATTGGTATCTTTTCAACATATTCGTTTGCATTTACACTCTTGAGACTTGCGTATTTCTTTTTCAAAACGTAAAGAATATATTGGAGCGAATCAATTGCTAAAATGTAAATGTTTGTTTTATCAATCGTCATAGATTTGAAATTGATGTTATCACCTACGTTTTTCTTGTATAAAATCGTATTGCACATAGAAACGTTAATATCTGTTACAGTTGTGTAATTTTCACTTAACCAGTAAATTAATGGCTCCTCATTATTCATGTTATCAATTATCATATCACAAAAAAAATCTATATAATGAAATAGGCAAAACAATGCATTTATCTGAACAATTTGTTCGTTTTTTCCATGGAGATGATATTTCATCATATCATATTCTCGATTCTTCCGATTGTATGATATGTGATATAAAATTCTAAAAAATATATAATTATTTTACTCATTATAGAACATTATTTTAACAAAAACAGAAACTTATATGTGGTAAAAATTCGAAATTCTTATAATTATATAACTTATTATTTTTTTTTACTTATAATCTTAATCTTTTTTACTTATAATCTTAATTATAAAACCACGTAAAATTATAGAAAATTACAAATTTGCATTAATCTTTAATAGAAAATTATTTTTTTAGGCGAATGGTAGTAAACGGTAGTAAACGTGCCTCATAAACGGCGATATACTTAAATAGCCATTATCAATTTCTGATTTGAAAATCTCATCAAGTTTAATCATGCCATTTTCCCACAATGTTAAGTCGAACTTTACAATGTAATAGTAGTCTGACTCTGAATAGGACCAATATAGATTTCTTGCTACCCAGTCAATGCAGAGAGCATGTAGATCATAATCAAATGTAGCTATTTTTGTAATGTTATTTTTATTAATCAGTGTTATTAGATCTCTTTCGAAGATACTCCAATAAATTCTATGTTCTTGTATCGAATAAGCGGCATTTATTACTGATCTGAAAAAAGGAGTCAACTGTAATTGTATAGTAAAAAAATTATAGATGAGATTTCTAATTTTATAGTTATTATTACTATAATATTGATAATAAACATATACGTAGTAATATAGTAACTTTAACTTTATAGTGAATAGAGAAGAGATAGAAGAATAATTTGATAGTTATAACCATTTTTTTATCAGTATACGTACTTATCATATAGATAATTATCAAAGCTAGCTGTTTTTGTGATTTTATTTTCATTAATCATCGATGTTACTAGGCTTCCTCTTTGACTTATCATCTTAAGAATAAAATAGTTTTTATATTTATGTCCCCCAGGAGCATTTATTATTGATCTGAAAAAAGAAGTCAATTGTAATTGTTTAGTAAAAAAATTACAGTTGAGATTTCTAATTATAGTTGAGATTTCTTGAGATTTATTTTAGTTTAAATTTAAGTTTAAATTTTAGTTTTTTCTTTAATAATTGAGATTTCTAATTTTAATTATTACTGCAGTAATGTTACTATTATAACTATTTTAGTTATTACTACTATAATGTTGATAATAATAAACTTGTGCATAATAATAATAATAATTTTAACTTTATAGTTAGTGCTAAAAATAATTTATGATAATTATAACTATTTTTTTTTATCAGTATACCTTTCAGAGTGAGTAATTTCATAAATAAACGACACTATGAAATTAGTAATATTTAAATCCATGTCCCATATTTGGATACCTAGATACGTTGTTACTAATAATTTAGATATTGGATTTACATGTGTAGTCAACACATTGATTAAATCCGTGTAAGGTCTAGGAACAATTTTAGTATGCGCACGTATTCGAAAATAATATGTCGTGTTAAATGTTAGATTGTGAACCGTGTGCTCCAATTCTGTAGTTGTGATATTTTTATCCTCGCATATTTGAATCTCTTTTAAATCCTCGATGAAAAAACACTGCACCGTGTACCCTTGTACTATTTCATCGGATTCAGGTTGGTTCCATCTGTAAAAAAATAAAATTTTAGCCATTTTATATTTAACAAAATTATAAAAGAATTAACATTTTAATATATTTATGTCGTTAAACTTAAAAAAAAGACAGAAAAATGAAAGAATACAAACTGAGAATTTAGATTCTTTACCTCCCCAATGTCACAAAAATATCGTTTACTTTTTCTGTGAATTGACTGTCGAATTGTACAAATGCTCTGAGAGATGTTGGTTGTCCAAATTGTTTTCTAGAGTAGATTGTATATTAACATAATTATATTAATAATTATGTGGACATCTCAGTAAATCAGAAAGAACAATTTAATGTGAAAATAAAGGAAAGAGGAAAAATAAATCTAAATTACAAAATATAAAAATTAGCACAGTATTGATCTTTAAAAAATAAAATAATATGAAAAATTTTTGCGTCATTTAAGACTTAGAAAAGTAATTGTTAATGCATAGCAAAAACGAATAAATAACTTTTAATAAAATGACAAGTACTTTTCGAAAAATTTCAACAGTTTAAGAAATCAGGATTATAATACATGTGATTGCTTTAAAATCAAATAGAAAATTAATAAAATTGACTTTACCTTAAATCATGACAATTTTTATGTACAATGTTATGTTTATATTATGCCTTTATATTTCTTTTTTCGACAAAATAGAAAGTTTATATTTTTTATATTTTTTTCGACAAAATAGAAAGTTTATATTTTATTTACTGCTGGAAGATATTTTTAAATTTATTTCTACTCTCTCTTAAATTTAAATTGTATTTCCACTCTCTCTTAAATTTAAATTGTATTTACACTTTTTCGTCATAGATTATATTAATGTTTGATGCATTTTTTTGTAACTTACCGATAGATCCTGGGATGATAGAAATATTTGCACGTGTAACTTCATCGACTTCTCGCTCATTTCTCACAGTACTATCGGAATGACTCCGATCAGATTTGAAATTTACTATATGATGATTATTTATCTCGAACATTGAAATATCCTTCATAAGATGTAACATACGAAAAGAATTATAAAATGAATATCGTTGAAGCGGTTGTTTCTGGTGCTTTTAATGATAAATTATATAAATTATAAAATTGAACGAAAAATTATCATTCGTTTTTTGTCTGCTTAATAATACTTGTTTGACATAAACCATTCCTAAATGATATATATTCAATGCAATGTAGTTTTATTTATATTGTAAACTCTATTTTTATTTTTTATTTTTTCTTTAAAACATCTTGTATATCAAACATAACTCATTATATCAAAAAGAAAAATCAATCAATATAGGTCAACAAGAGTCAATGACGATTCATAACAGCTTTTAGCAAGTAGTGGAAGCGAAAGTGTAGTTCTTTGCAATTACTAAAACAATTTTGTTTAACGATTTGATTCTTTCTTATAATAGGTTAGTTAACTTTTATCAATTTTACCATAACTTAAATTTCTTTTCAAAAATTTGCCAATATTACTAAAGTTCTATTAATGTTTGTACTTCAAGCATAAAAAGGTTAAAAATATTGTTTCTTTACAGTTATTAAATATTAGTCATAGAAATTATATATATTCTTTTATTCATATCCTTGTCAAGATTTTTCTCAAGTGTCGTTATATTTTTAACAATCAAATCCTGAAAATGATAATATAAACTGATAATGCCTTGATAAGAATATGTGCATGTAATTGTATATGAATGAATATATGTACAATAAAAATTAATATAAATTCTAGCAATTGTTATCAAATGTATCGTCGATCAAAATATTAACGTTAATAGATACAATTTGAAGAATGTTTGATGAATGATTTTTTTATTAGACATATTTTCTATCTCGATATTTAGCTCTGTTTCGTTATATAATTACTCTTAACACAAAGAAGTGATGCTAACTTTTTAAATTAATTTCTTAAAATAAAATCTACTTAAATCTTACTGTATATCAATAAATATTATAAATATTATAAATATCTAGAAAGATAAAGAAAGTTTAGAAACTGAAGAAAAATAACATAAAAATCTATTGAAGTGTCATCGTATGTATATATTAATGTAGTAGATAGTAGACAGAAAACTTCATTAAATTTAAAAATTGTTATTTTTGGAAATAATTATTATATATATAATTATATTTATATGTATATATATATATATATATATATATATATATATCTGGAGAGAAAAAGAGAAAGAGAGAAAATACATAGTCAATTTTAAAATATTATTTTAATTAAATTCAATATGCTATATAACATTGATTTGTGAACAAAATTTCGAAACTTTATCCATCTGCTTTTTACATCATATATATTTTTTACTTTTATATTGAATTGTTTTATTTTATCTTATTTTATTATATAGATAGAATATATAATTTATTCATTCATTTTTAGTTACACTACTAGCTGCAATAACATTCAATTGTTTCTTAATCAAGCGAAAAATATTTCCTACCTGCGTGAAATTTAAATCCGGATACAGGGAAATACTTTCTTTCTGAAGGATATTTAAAGTGTTATCATCCTTCGGCGTGATAGTTGCCTTTGTCAATATTAAACCTTTCAATAAAACACATAAAATTGTTCCAAACATAATTTGCATTTTTGGTAAACGTTTGCACGCAATCGGTTTCCGTTCAACCCTCAATTAATTGTTTTTTTCACTCTACTAATTTTGATGTGTTAATCGAATTGATATTAATTCACATATATACATATATTTTCGATAAATTCTTTAAAAGTCTGTTTTAACGAATCGCGAGTTATTATCTTCTAATATTATGTTTTTAGATTTCTCTTTATGATCACGGTCACAGTATATATCTTAAGATTAAATTAGAGAATTCTTAGTAAGTAAATAATTTCTGATACATATTCATTGGATTGTATCGCGAATACAGGAATATAATTATTATTAGCTTTCTTTTTTCATTAATAGAAAAGCAGTCAATAAAAAGATAACCACAATCAAATTACAAACGATCTAAGAAGTTATAGAATTATAGATCTTGTAACATTTTCAGCCATATTCAAGCACACGCAGCGTATAATCGAATTCACTTCAATATTTGCTATATCTGTTATTAAATATGTAATTATGACAATTCGTACGATTCTGTTACTACGTGCTATGTTTTTTAAAATCCACTATTCATACACAATTACACGGTTTCTCTAAACTTCATATAATGCTGTTTGAATCGAGCGATAAATAACAGTGGTAGCGTTTGGCTAGCGATCATAATAGTAACTGACTTTGAATGGTCAATCCGATCTGTTACCATGACATTTTATTAGCTCCATTCCGTTTGTAATTTATTTTTTTCCGCGAAGATACTCGTTATTTCAAAGGAAATTTAAATCCTTAAGAATTGTTTGTCAAAAAATTTATATATATAAGACAATGTTATATATATATATATATATATATATATATATAACAAAAATAATTTTATATATAAATAAATATATTTATATACATACACTATTTAATAAATTTTATCAAACTTTATCTTACTAGCTTTTTATATTAATTTATTTTTGCGTAACCTTCTCTTTGGCATAAGAAAAACATTTATTATATAAAAAAATATTCTGATTACAAGAAAAATAATAATGGACTTAAAAAAAGAGATTTACACGTTTTCTGTTCACATAATGCATTTTGAATCAAGCAATACGTAACACGACAGCGTTTTTACACAAATATAAATAAATATACAATAAATATACAATAGCACGTAAATTGTATAAATAACAAAAATAAATAAAATAATTAATTTTACGAGTTTTATTATTATCATTATTTGTACTAAATAATCTTATATAATAACTTATATAACTTTATAATTAATATAATATATTATATAATATATATTATATATTATATATTTATATTATATATTATATATTGTATTATATATTATATATTATATAACTTTATAATTAAAGTAATATAATATATTATAATAACTTATAGTATTAATTACTTTATTATTTAAATTATAACAACGCACCCTTGCACCCCCCTAACCATGCCCAGCCGATGACCGCTGGAAGCTGCCGCCCGGCAGAACACCCGCCGGGCAAGGGCAGGGTGCTTTGCACCACATTTTAAAACTTTTATCCAACGGCTTTAGTTTAATTGCCGTTAAAAAACGGAGCGCGCCGACGACGGCCGACGAATCCCGAACGAACGGGCTGAGTTCCCCCCGCGCCCGGCGCCGCCCCGCTCCACGAACACAACGCCGAATTTTCAACCCGTTCGGTGGGGGAAACCACGAGGCACGCCGGCGCCAACTAATTAAGCCGGTATAAAAGGGCCTGCCAAGACGATCCAGGTACCTTTTTCCTCCAAGCTTCTCAAACGCGAGCAACCGCCAAGAGTTAGCAAGGAAACCTGGAAAGCGTTCTTAAGGCTAAGGAGACAAAGCGGTGGGGCGTACCCCGCCACAACGAGGAGTTCCTCAGATCTCACCGGCCGAGCGCATCCTGTATTGCAAGCGTGCATCAGATTGGGGAGTACCCCGATTTATCCGGGAGTTCTCGGACACACGCATATCCCGCACTCCATCCTTATCCAGCCAGCACAACAGGAGGCAGAGAGGAGAGCTGCCCCCGGCGGACGTTCCCGCCAAACGCCGGCTGAATCCCGAAATTCCTACCAAATTACCCGTGTCGAGAAACTTACGCGAAGTTCCACAAAAACGACAATCATATCGGGGAAAAGAATCATCGACACACGCGCCGACACGTCACGCGGTCATTGCCCTCGCCGCAAGTAAATACAAACGTGATCAGATTATTTCCGTTAACTTCAGAAGACGCGCACTCCGACGGCGATCAGAATTGCACCATCGGGTGTCCAACCCTTCCGTACTCCGATTACCGTAAATTTTACGATTACGCAGCATAAGCTGCTTAAACAGAACCACGACCACCGCAACGCGAAACCGAGAGGTGCATTCAATCTAGCGAGGCACTGACTGTTTACGGCGAGTTTTTGCGCCCGGCATCACCCGTTTTTATATGTAACAAGATCTTGTATCTTCGCCGACAGCGATTCTAATCCGTCGAACGCATTCGACTACGTCCAGTTGCGCATACATACCCACCCACGCATACTCTGGTATTTCATTTTTTTTCTTTCTGTAAATATTGTTTTTCTTTCTGTGAATATTGTTTTTTTAAATAAAGTTCTTATTAAAATTTAAAAGTACGCACGTTTTAATTCACGCTTGCCTAACTCAGTCCTTGGAACTTACGGCTGCAGTTATCCGCGGCACGAGCAAAAACGCCCGTTACAAAATTATACTACTGTAATTCTGTATGTGACAATCTTTATAATATGCACTTATAATGTGCATAAAACTAAATTTTCTCTTTTTCTCGCTATAAATCAATTGCTTTATTTCCAAAAAATTGGGATAAACACGTTAATCACACTTTGTTAAATAATATTGAAAATAATTATGAGATATTAACGGGTCTCCTCTTGTGACTCAATCCATTCATATTAAATGATACATTTTTAATTCCAAAAATGTTTTTGTATTGTTAAAGAGACATTCCGCATAAGAATATTTTTAATAATTTCAACAAGTGTGTATATAACGTTTTCTTTAAATTGATACACAATAATATATATATTTTCACAAATATTTATAAATTTATAAAAATTTATTCTCTTTAGAAATAATATCAGTACGTACAAAAATTTATATATATAATTTGAAATAGGAAAGAGCTCCAAAACATAATGTAAAAAAGACTTGAAAGAAAATTACAATTGTATGTGTTAATATTTATGAATTTACAGAATAGTTAATATTAGTTAATACATTAAAGCGCAAATCTTACATAAGATACAAAAATATACATGTCGAATGTTTAATGAAATATTAAATAAACATTCCAATATTAATATCTGTTTACAATTTATTCCTCTATAATTTATTTATATCAGTTTGATATCTATTGGATTCAATGAATCATCTTTCAATGTCACTTCTAATATAATATTTTCGAGAAAAAATTTGAAGTTTGATTTAATTTTCGCTGTACTGCAACAACAGATTATTAAAATCAATGGATAGTTAATTGTTTATCTACCATCAATTGTTGTCGTCAATAGACGGCAAAACATTTTATAAAACACAGCTGACGTCAATAAGTACTTTATGATTTAATTCCGAGATCGCCTATTTCAATTTCAATTTCAATGATTCTGTTTATGTGATGTTATCTCGGGTCTGCAATAATTTATTTTATTCATTCAATAATTCATTTTATTTATTTATATTACGAATCTCTCTGTCTCTCTCTCTCTCATTCTAAATTATCTAAATTATTTAAATTTTTAAATTACATTAGTATAACATATAAAATATTCTGGATTTTATTTTAATATACTCAAAATATCTATAAAATGTTCTCGTATTAATTAATACTTTTATAGAGATAGTAATATTTTATAAATTGCTTCACAATAATATATTATTTAGATATTTAGATATTTAGATATTTAGATATTTTATGCATAAAGTTCCATGATGAATTATTTAATAAATAATCAATTTTAATCAATAAATTAAAATACTTCTATAATTTAATATTGCGCGTTAGTGTATATTTTATAATGTAAAAAATATCTCGCCAACGAATTATCGATAATACGATGTTCAACTTTGGCAATATAAAATGTAAACAGTAACGCGCTATGTTAGGGCTTCGTCATCATTCGCACGGTGACACTCGAGTAATAAAATAGTGGTGCGAAACGCCTCATATATTGTAATTTAAACACGACTACGATCAGTATCGAAACATAATTTGCTGTAATTATTAATAATTAAAAATTAATTAACTTCTGATAAACGACATAAAAATGTTTCGCAACGATAAATCTTTATCGAATCGCAATCATTCATTACTACGAATAAAAATTGAAATAGAAAATAGATAAAAGAGGATAAGAGAATTAATTATGTTATGATCTTTTGATCATTAATGCTTATTATAATATTTCTTTAAAAATATTATAATTAAATATTAAATTAATATTTTGACCAATGATTTAAATTTTCTTAATCGGCAATCCTTGTTAATTATACAATAGTTATATATCACGATATATATATATATTAATTTAATCTTTTAATCTTACGATACATTAATATGTTGGATATATAAGATACATTAACATGTTAAAATATTTCCACAATGAATTATCCTAATATCCTACCTAGGCGACATAAACAGTGAGCTGATGATTTTGTTTTATGGTCTCTTGTTATGTGAATTTAAATTTGTTTACTTTATTACTAGATAAATTCCAAATTATATATCAAGAGGCGCGGTAGCGTCGCGACGCCAAGTACATAAAAAATAAGTCTTAGCATTGAGTTCCAAACATTGAGTTGAGAGTCACTGCTCTCGACGCGGCGCTACCAAGTACCTTATCCGGAATTTCGCGTCAAGTAAACTTTCGGTTAAGATATTTAATAAACTAAAGCCGTAATCAAAAATTTAACGATACTTTTATTATAAAATGTAAATATATGCTTTCGATTGCGACCTGTTTGAACAAAATCAGTGCAATCAATCCTGAGAAATGATGATCGAATATCAGAATTGTGACATTTTTCGTTTTCCTTCATTTCCAGTGTCTCACGTACATATGCTCGCACACACGCAAAGCG